AATATGCGTGGTTAATGGTTGTACAAACTAAAGCTATTATTGCTTCATCCAAATGGGAAATCGTGAGACGGTAACCAAAACCGGCGCACGAAAGTGCATCGTTTCTGGTTGTAAACACAGAAACCGTGTAGAGGAACATTCTAAAATCTACAGATTTACTCGTCCGTCACCGGTTAATTTCCAGAACAAGTATGTTTTAATATGCGTCACTGTGATGAGCAACGGATTTTGCGGGTCCAGTGGAACAATTGGTTAATAAAACGAGGCATATGTGATGGCAATCTCAAGCTAGACTGGTCTGCTAAGTTCTTGTATGCTCAACCCGGATAAAGTTGTTTGAACAGGACAGTTGAGACGGAGAGACGCTTGGTCCTTTGGCAAATGGGATAGTATTAACAAGCAAAGCCAGCCGTGTAAAATTTTGATGAATTGACAATTCGCTTCCTCGCAGACATTCAAATACAGTTTAGTGGTCGGTGTAACAACAAACTTGGTCACGTCGCCGAACAAATGTACGCAGAATCGAACTGGCAACATGAAACGATTTATCGAACCCAAGAAGACATACGTTGGTCGGGGGGAATTGATATTGGCCATTAACTTCACGTGCTCTTATTCAGCTGTGAACACACATTTGCACGGGTCGAGTCAAACAAAGAAACACGATAGTCGACTACTCATTACGAAACCTATATATTATATATTATCGCACACGTCTGACGCCAGACTGTGTGCCAAACAAATCATGGTACAATAATCTTTATGAAAAATGAAAAAAGTCCCGTGATTTGCATGTGGGCGGAATACTGCTAGGTTGCCCAGGCCAGTGCAAATGAATTTTCTAGGGGAATCCACAACTGGAGCCTTCGGCAAACCAAAGCCTCACCCGTAAGGCAGCGGAGCGGTATGTAAAAACCTCAATCCATTGGGGGCCAGTGTCCAGTTAATCGGATCATACGCCCTTTGGACGAGGTCAAAAACCCAAGCTGCCCAATACAACTCGATGCCCAATCGAGCCGGTGACCACTGCCAAAACCAGGAAGTTGTGTGTGTGTGTGGTTCGTACGCCTCCTCTAGGTTCGTTTGGACTCGGTTTTTGGCCAACTCCCCTAGATGGACTACCAGTGGTTCACCAACCCGGTTATAGCCCCGGATGTCAGCTAATCGTCCTCTCACTTTGGTGAGAAACACCTCCGCCACGAGAATAAGTTGAGCAGGGCTTCCTTAGCAGAGGATATTCGAGACGCTCGGCCATATGGGGGCAGTTCGTGAGGTGCAAGGGAAGGGTGACTAGCCGCAACCCTAGACACCCACCCCCGATCATACCGAGGTTTTTGGATACCTCGAAGTTAACAGACTTTGTAATTCAGAGAAGCGATACTTAGTCATCACCGGAGACCACAAGTGTATCAAGAAAAAAATTGTCCCGCAACCCGTGGTTGCCATGGTATTGAGTACGTCACACCTGGGGCCACCGGACATGACTCGCTGTGAACACCACACTGTTTGAAACCGGTTCATTCTCAAATCAAATCTGATCATCTAAATTGACCTTAACTCGTAACCAAATCCTTAAACTACGCAACTTATTTGGTCACAACCTTGTTCAACGGGGTTATTTCAACTCCTCCTCCCGTGTTTCTTTGTCTGGCATAAGCACACAGAAATGTACACTCACAACAGAATGGGAGCACGCAAAATTGACGACTAATATCACCTCTTCCCACATTGACGTCTTCTCTTGTTTGTTTGTTTTTCTCTTTTTTCTTTACTACACACCTAAGTGTGTTGAACAGCAGACGGGGCGAACCCCATAGTCAGGAGGACCTGCTGTTCAGTGATGGAAACCGGCAACCTAAGCCCCGGGACTTGGAGTGGCGAACCACATAAGGCCCCAATGGGTTGTTGATGAAATGGATAAGGGTGTTTCATAGAACGATGTCAGTTATTGGTTAGGGTACGAATATATTGTACAGTAGCGTCACGGAAGTGGTAAGCTACGAAAAGTTTGAGATCAGCAACTGGGTGCGTCTCAGAATCACGGATAGGAGAATAGCCGCGTAAGTGGCTGTTGTGGCCTACAGTTGGCTGATATGTTTGTCATGCATGCCTGTGGCCGAATTGATTGACTGATTGCTTGACAGATGGTACCAAACACACACGTACTCACGCTATGCGGACTGAGTCTATTATAATACCGGTCGGCTCCAGCCAATCAGGTGCGCACACTGCGCTACCGTTCGTTTAGTTTTGCTTTATGTTTGTGAGACTGAATTTGCGGGTAGGTATCCATCGACTAAGAGTATTCAGCTATCGGTGTTCACGACGTAGTTTAGCCCATGTGGCGAAAGGGTTAGCTATCTGGAGGTAAGACGTCGTTTATTTGGGAGTCCATTTGGGATAAACTTGCTAGCTCACTGAATTCAGTTGAGTAGGCTTCACTGTCTGGGGCAAGTAGTCTATACCCAGCTGTCGTCTGCTGCACAGCGCCTTATTCACTGTAGCCGCTCCGGGCTGCAGGAAACCACGTAGAGGTCAACAGATGACGTGGAGACGAGGCATGAAGAAACGAACAGTCATTAGTTAAGTCAAGTCAAGAAACGGCTTTGATTTGCTCCATAGGAGATAAACATTTAGCTACTACATTAGACAGAGTAGATGCCACGCACATTCCAGGTTGGGGTCCGAAAGACTCTGCAACTGGTTGGTTAGAGACATTAAAGGATATGGCAGCAAACCGGCAGCGGGAGTTCTTCTTGTCATTTCTTATCAGGTCAGAATGCTTGAAACGGTATGTATGCAGAGTTCCATTGTACACTCTTTGTGTTAACCGTAGAGATTCACATTCCTCCTCCTCCTCCCTCAAAATAGATCCAATCCCTGCCCACCTAAAATGTTACTAACTGTGTATGCATTGCGAGTTTGGCAGCGATCAGTGAGATTTACTTCACTGTATTTCATCATACGATGATGATGAATCAAGTGTTAGTATTGAGCTGTCCGCGCTGATTGAGTCGTTGACTGTTCGAATGCCTGCTTAACCGCATTCGAATGTCGTGTGACGCTTGAGTCGTTTTTCAGCTCGCCTGCCTATGCGCCTATGGGTTGCCCACTTCTGTTTGCTCACCGGCCTATGAATCGGCTACATGCTCATCTACTACAATAAACATACTGCATAATCAACTGTGAGTTTATTTACCTACATAAAAGAGGTACAACACTGGCTAATCGCGAATCGGTGAATATTGTTACCCTGAATAGAAAATGAAATCAGTCAGGACCAGAACGTTAGTTTGATTCCACATGATATCGTTTGCTGATCAGCATTTCGGTACCCACAATAGTTCAGGACAATCGATGAAGACGGATCAAAGAGAATCACTAACGGAGAATTGTACATGAAATTACTGGTAGAGAACATAGTAGAGATGAAGTGCTCACCTTGCCCTCTGATTGGATGGGCCCTGTAACCGAACTCAAATCTGACGATGTTTTAACGTCCTGAGAACACTTCTTGGAGGACACGGATTTCCCAGGGGTTGTTTTGACTTCTTCTCGTTTCTTACGGCTTACTTTTGGCTTGATAACTTTGACACCGCTGAAAAAATGTTAGCCGGGAGATATGTAACAGTTACATGTTTACAAATATATATATATGTATATGAATATAGCGCTTAAAGTAAATAACAAACATACCGATGAAACATTTGTTTCTGTAAAAGNCTGCGCTAAACACGCGAACGATCATCCCGGATAGTCGAGCTTCCTGAGCCGGTAGTTTTCTGTACAGATAGGTAGCTACTTCAGTCTCATCAGCGTTCGGTTTCCACGAATTATCGGCATTAGAATCACCAAACTGCTTGCGTTTCTTTCGTTTTTCCATTCAATTTTTCTACTGAAATGAACAGATCAGTTGGAATGTACAAAAAATAGCATCAGAACAGAACAAAATAAATAAATGTTAAGGGAATCAACGAAAATACTAGGAGATAATGAGAAATGAAATTATCCAAAGCAGACTGTGACGTACTCGTTTTTATAACACCATTTAGAACGATGCACCAAAAAAGCGGTGACTCACAGACACGAGGACCTATAAGGATCGGCAGTCCATAACCCAGGAAGTTATGTGACGAATCAGACTATCGTGCAGCGGGATACAATGAAGCAAACTTCTCTTCGGTGCCGGGCTCACAACGTACACGAATTAAGTGAGAAGTTACGAGAAGGACAGGGCTTCGGCCTAATTAGAGGGAGGCAAATAATGAGCCTCGACGGTGAACACAGAGTGCACAACCGAACTGAGTCCACATACCTTTTCAAGCATTTTGGCTTGATAAGAAGTGAGAGCAAAAACACCACGGCTGTCGGGAGGTTACCCAATTATTCATTGCCTTCAACCAACGAGTTGCAGTCTTTTGAATCTTCAACTGGAAGGCGGGAGACATTCAATTCAATAATTTAATCTACTCTGTGCATTTCTTTGTGCCTCAGTTCCACATCACCGTTGACCTCTACGTGATTTTCTCCAACATGGAGCAGCAACCGCGATAGGTATGCATGCGCAATATATTTCCTAACTAGCGAAGCCTATTAATCTGAATTCGGTGTGATAACGAATTCCCAACCGAACCATTACCGAATGCTCGACGGCTTATCTCACAGTTGATTAAACGCTCGTGTCAAATACACCAGCATCAAACTACGTAAAAATCGAACGTTGAATATGAATGAACGATGAATAGTTTTCACGCGCGAAGCTACGGTCTAGCAACCGTAAAGCACAGCCGACCGCAAAGTGATACAACCATTATCTTCATCATGGCACAGCGAAATACAGTGAAAAGAACTTCACTGCTGGCTGCCAAACACATTGCATACAAGGTCAGTGAAAATGTAAGAATGATAGGGTTTGGGTCTATTTTTAGAGACAGCAGGGGAAAGCGAAACTTTACGGTCAACACACTGAGTACACAGTCCAACTGTGCACATATACAAGTTTCCAAGCATTCTGGTCTGATAAGAAGTGACAGTAGGACTGCCACTACTATCGGTTTGCTGCCATGACCTTCAGGGTCTCTAACCATGCGGTTTTGGAGTCCTTAGGATCCCGACCTTAATCTAAACGTCATCTCCTGGCCTCCACGTGGCTTACTTCAGTCTGCGGTGGCCACTGTAAGTGAGGTGCGGTGCGGTAGGCGACCGTTAGATATATGCAAAATGCGTCCTATCCAACGGAGCCCATTGAACTGAATTTGATACAACAGCAAGTTCGTGTTCGATGCATTCCCAAACACCCGGCGACTTACTTCTAGGTTAATAACCTGCTCACCACCCCATCCCACCTGGGCGAGACCACGTAAGCATCGATAGCCAAAAACCACTAGTCGACGGATATCTTCTATCCGCAAATTCACGCAATTGCAAATCAAAACTGATCATAGTGGTGCAGTGTACGCGACCTTTCAACTTCAGTGAAAAGTCATGTCGTCACTACAGGTGTTTTGGTCCCGTGTACACTGATCGAGCCTTGGAAATGCGGGTGGTTATCTCCTTTGATGCTCTACCGTCGATATCCAGTCCTGTAGCATCACTTTGCACTTTGAAGGTGCAAAGCATATACCGAATTCGGCAACCGTATTTGTTAGTCTATCAAGTGCACTTTGCGCGTCTTCCATACATACGAACAGACAGGCAATGTCATCGGTGTAACTCAAATCGTACAGCTTTTCTCCGTCTGCCCATTCAATACCTACGTTTTGGAGACCAGTTATTGCGCTCTCCAGTATTTCGTCTACGACGAAATTGAACAGGTACGGTGAAATAGGACATCCTTGGCAAACGCCGCTGCTGGTGATGAACGGCCTACTTAGTTCGCTGCAAACCCTTACTCGATCAGAGGTACGGTGACCTTATATATAATATATATATGTATAAAATTATTAATGGAGTTTGCGAGATCATCACCCTTAATCTTGAAAAGGGTCCGAGGAAGCCCGCCTGGTCCTGCTGCTTTTCCTTTTTTCGGGGCTTGGATGCAAGACCGAACTTCAGCAGCAGGTTCACATGGCATTGCCCACAGAGCCTCAGCTGACCAGCTGAACTATTCGTTGAGGTAGTCCGCCCACCGGTCAAGCAGTTGTCCTCTATTGTGAATAGCTTGTCTTATTTCATCGCAGATTGTGGTTGGTCGACCTCCCGTATTGTGTATCAGTTGAAACAGCCTTTGACTATTCCCTGATGCAGCTGCTACTTCCATTTCATTAGCTATAGTTGCCCACTACTTCTCACGGTCTTTCCTGAGGCTCTTCGTGAAGTTGAAGACGCCACACACCCATGCTTGATCCAGAGAGGTTGGGATTTGCCGCTTTTTCTCCATCAGTCAGCATCATCATCACCGTACAGCGAGATACAGTGAAGCGAACTTCACTTGTCGCTGCCAAGCTCACAATATATATAAATCGAAAGATCAAGCACAGGATGGAAAGGAATTGGGCCTAATCAGAGGAAGACAAAGTAAGTGAACCTCTAGGGTCAACACAGAGTATACAATCTAAGTGAGCATTTATACCTTATCAAGCATTATGATCTAATAAGAAATGACAACAAGAACATCACTGCTGCCGGTTAGTTGCCATATCCTTCAGTGTCTCCAACCAACCTATCATCATCACCATCATCAGATATCCAATACCTCGGACGGGCTACCGCTTCAAATCCACAGGAAACATTCGCGGCGGAGTGCATTGTTTGTTTAAACTGATCCCATTGTTCACCTACACTAACACGCTGCAGTATGTTTAGCTCTTGCCCTAGTTCTGATTGAAAAGGGGCACGAACGGCTGGGTCAGATAAACGATGATCTACCAAGTGAGTTTGGTAGGGTTTTCTGCGAACAGCGAGTTGGAGAGTGAACTGTACCAAAAATAATGCGAGATCAGATTCAACGCAGTTGGTCCAATAGGACCGGAAGTTTTGCACTGAGCCGCACAAACGGTAGCTTACTGCGATGTGCTCGATCTGAGTTAGCGTAGCAGTTGAATTGGGGCACCAGGTTGCTGGCCGTTGAGAGCTGTGACGGAAGTTGGTACTGGATAGGAAGAGATGATGATCTGCGGAGAACTGGAGAAATCGATCGCCATTATCTGTTTGTTGGTAGGGGAAAGCACAATGACTACCAGGCAAGCTTCCGATACGCTCAGATTTCCAAGCCCCGAAAGTTTGTTCACTTGAACACCAGTAGAAACCAACAGGGGACAGTCTAGAGCTCTTAAAACCAAGGGCTCGCCTCG